CCCACTGTGCAAGTCGATTCAAAGAGGTGGTGCCGCTCGCCAGTCTCTGCAGTCGACCCCTTGGGTGTCAAACAGGTGCGTCGAAGCACCAAGGCCGTCCCGACATCCCCACTAACCAATTGCTCCACAATACCCTCCTCAGTATCGTAAACCGGAGGACCCTCATATCCCTCGGCCCCATCAAACTCACCACCATCCTCCGTAAAAAGAGCCCGAGAACTCCCCGCTTTTGGACACACCGACTGGCGGTGGCCCATTTCGCCACATCCAAAACAGCGTAGACCCGCCACTGTACGTGCCGCCGCGGCCGAAAATGGCTGTCCGCTTCCCCCGCCCGGTCGCAGTGAAGGCCCGCCTGCCGCTGAAGCCCGTGCCTGCCCCGCCGACTGTACCAGGCTGCCACCAGGCGCTATGCCAGGCCTCGGCTGGAACGAGGACGCACCCGAGGCCCCACTCTGTCGTGAAAAGGTCCCGAAAGTAGGACCCGCTTTGTTAGCCGCCTGCATTTCCGCGAGAATGGCCCGTTGATGAGCGTCCGAAACCGAAACCGGCCGAAAAAGATTCAACGTGTCTCGCAACGAAGCACGTAACCCGCCAACATAGCGGGACACCAATTGGTTCTTTGTCTCACGTAAGTCAACACGTGTCAGGAGGCGATAAAATTCGTTCGTATAATCATCCACCGAACGAGAACCTTGACGCAAATTTTGCAATTGCTGATACACAAGGCTGTCATAATTGAATGGGACGAATTCACGCTCTACATACTTACGAAACTTCATCCAAGAAGTCAAATCAGGCTTCCCTTGTCGATGCCGCATGCTCGTGAGTTGCATCCACCACGTTGCTGCCCTTCCCCGAAAACGAGTAGCAACCAAGGCCACACGTCTCTCCTCGGGCACTCCTTTGAACCGCAGAACGGCCTCCACCGCCGCCCACCATTCAAGAAACTCCGACCCATCAACCCCTCCAGCAAATTCCGGGATCTCAACACGTAACCCTTGTTCCCAACGTGACTCATCGCCCCCTTCTATCGGACGCCTGCCGTCACGTCGGTCCAAACCCCCTCGACCAAACCCTACACGGTCACCGTACACTACCCGTTGCTGAAACTCATCCTCTCGGCCTTCCCAGCCCCTGTGAACAGTCTCCTCGCCGTCGGACTCTGACACCGCGCTCCCTCGAGGCGGCGGACGCCGTATGCGTCCATCCCCACCACCACGGAAGTCCCAGGCGTCATCCTCATGGTCGCTGAAGTCCTCCCACGCAACATCCTTGAGGTGAGGACGCCGGCCACCAAACCCTAACCTGTCGCGACCATCGCCGCCCCCCGTCCGAGGCGCGCGATCATCTCCAGCCGCCCGTCGTTGTTGTGCGAACGGATTGTCCGCACTCCAAGTGTCGTCATCCTCGTCATCGCCGGACGGAGGTGGTTGTCCACGCCGGTGGGGCGCCCCACCGAAGCCGCGACCTCCCCGACCTCCGCGAAACCCTCCGCGCTCGGTCCGGTCGCCACCGTCGCAGTTCGCATGCACGTCTGCCATCAAGGTACGCATAGCCTGTTGCAATTCCTCCATCCCGGTTGAAAGATCCGTGAAACGATCATCCATCCCTTGAAAACGATCTTCCATTCTCTAGAATCGTTCTTCAACGATGTTGTCGTTATTCTTCTTTGGCGGCATCGAGGATCGCTGCTGGTCTCTGGATACCAACTGATGTAGAGCGTAGTACAATTGGGGAAGAAGAAGAGATTCTCTCTCGCAGAACACACAGAATTTTTATTCAATCGTCAAAAACTGCTTTCTCATTCTCCCAATAACATATAAATAACACTGATAAAAATAAGACTCCTAAACTTGCCCCACAATTGCAAGTTATTTATTTTCCTACCCCAAAATACTACTTATTAAAGGACATAAAATAAAAGAGTACGAATAATTACGAGACAATAAAAAGCTGATTAGACCCGAAGTCGGTCATATTTATTCAAATACGCAATAGCGGTCTCGTCTTCATCAGATTCAAAGGCAAAATGCCAATGAAAAGGTCTGTTCCCTTCAACCATTTTTATTATTTCACGGGTGCATATGTTAGAATGGCTACAAACATCGTTTTGATTGAACAAAGATTCGAACTTTAATGGTGGGCTGCGTGGGCAATTGTTTTTAGGTGCAGACAAGTAAATCTATTTTTTAGTTATATTATACTGCTGATACTGATTATAGTTGTATTGCTTTCACCGATAACGATATGTGCTGAAAGATTAGAACTTTATTGTGGGTATGATTCTAAGCTGTTGTCCAGCTAATGTAGGTCTTTATTTGAGCCTTGTTCGTTCTATGATTCCTTTTTCGTTTTTTTTTTTTTATTATTTTTTTATTTTCCAAGTGAGTGAGCTTGTAGATGATCAAAGAGAGACTCAAAAGGTGGAAAAAAAAATAAAAAAGGAAGAAATTACAATTAATTGTGAGCTGGGTGAAGAGAATTGTTTCTCCTGAATTCGAATTCTGGATGTTCTCTTGTTTCTTTGTGCTATTTTTGTACATTTAAACTTTGATTTAAGGTTCTTTACAGGTTTCTGTGGGATAACGAAGTTCTCATGTGAGGTGTGCCTATCTATTAGAAAAAAGCTACCAATGATTCTGTTTCAAACTGAGTGAATTAACTCTATAAGCAAAGCAACCCATGATCGTTTATTGTGTTTTAATGTCTATTTTGTGCTTGGTGACATTTAACATTGATCTTTTCTATGTTTGGAAGACGTTCTTTGCGGTAAATCACGTAAATTTTGTCTCGAGTTATTTTGTTCAAGTTCGTAGTGTTTGCCTCCTATTAGCATTGTTATGCTACTTTCCACCAAAAAAGAAAAGAAAAGAACATGAAAAAAGAAAAACCAAACCTCTATAGTCTGTTTTGGTTGGTTGTTTTGAACAATTCGTGTCTAAGTTTCTATTTGTCACTGTTTGGAGTTTGTAGCATAAAGAAATAAATTGTCTTTTATAGTTGATTTAATTTTCTGTAATATGCAGGAATACATAATCTTCCAAAAAAGAAACATTGGCTCGTTCTAATTTTTTACAAACATGTTTATGTTTCAGGTTCAATTTATGTTACCTAAGATTTATATGGTTTTGGAACCTGTTCGAAAGAAGTTCCAAGAGTCTCGGAGAGGCCACATGCATGTTTTCATGCAGAGGATCAGGTACGCAACGACAGTACAGAAAAGGATAAAATTTAGAATTGGGTGAAACTGATCTATACAGCTTTACAAACTTGACTAAAATGTGGTTACGGAGAAATTGTTAGTGAAATAAATGAATCTCTTTCAATCTGTCTTTTTAGTAATAGTTCGTGAAACCAATGATTCTGTATCGATCTGCCTTTTATGGGGAAGTATGTATGGAAAGATCTTTTAGGGTTCTCTAAAAAGTAAGAACTCACGTGGATTTGCATGTTGAGAAAGTATACATTTGATGGTTTGGTTTGGAATCACTCAGGCGCTCAGCACAACAAAAAATATTTATAATACAAGCAGCATAATATAAACTGAAACTTCATAAAAACAGTATTATCATATTCTTGGAACTTCATTTTGTTATGAGTAGTTAGTGTACTCCAAGCACAGCCTAATTTTGCTTTCTGAAGCTATTCATCTTTCATAGCAATGAATGTGTTTTTAGACTCCTTTGTTCGATTTATGTTTATCGTATGATTTCTTGTACTTATTTACAATTATATCACTTTCTACCAACACAACCGAATGTTCTGGAAAAACGTGATCCAGAATCCAGATAATTAATTATAACAGGTATTTGAACTCTCTATTCAAGTTTGAGTCGTAAATTTTTTTTACCTAAGCACATTATTTTTGTTCAACTATTTCTTGCCATGTGCAGTTTATGGCCAATGTAGCCGAAATACTAAAAGCTGGTATTAGAACCTGTTGTGCACAGACATCTCCTTTTGGGCCCACTTGGAATCCGGCTACCCTTTCAGATAATCGCGCACAAGATCGAATGTGAGTCGAATAATCTTGTTCGTCAACCTTTGGCTTCTTGAAATTCAACATTTTCTGTAAAGAAAAACATCCAAACGCCAATTTTAGCACATGTTAAGGTCATTTTGTTTAGACATGTAAAATTCACATGGAGATCATTATGAAGTGACCTATGCGCTGAATTATACTCGTGTGAATTGATTAATTGTACTGATATGTGTTTAAGTGGGAAAAAATCCACCTATATGTATGATAATGTCACATGTCCCCTTACAACTTTTAATTTTTTTTAGATTCTGCTTACATGCATGGAGATTTTGTACTAAATGTAACTAGTATAATGTATGCAGTTATAGATGGACATATCATTGCAAACAGTTCTATACTTCCATTATACTCCCCATTTAAGTTTTTAGATTATTAGGTCATGACATATTGAACTGTGCACATTGAAGGAACACTACGGAAGTTGCCTTTTTGAAGTCCTACATAAATATTTGCATTTAATTGTACATATGTGAAAGTGCGCAAAGTGTTGTGCAAGTGTTGCGTAAATCTTTAGTAATTCAGTCGCTTTTATTCATGAGGTGCAAGTCGAGCGCATATGTGGACAACAAATGCATATCATCCTCAAGTGTTACAAATAAAATAAATGCATGTTCATAATTGTTCGCACCATTTGGTTCAATAGGATTCTCCAATGTTTAATTTGTTTTGTTTGTCCCCTTTTTTTGCTTTTGCTCTTAACTTAAAATTCTTTGGCTTATTTAAATAATAGCACATAAAGAGACTTCAGAATTTTTAAATGCAAGGAAATTGAACAACCTCTTTATTTGGAGTGCTCAAACATTTCATCTTCTCAAACCATAAGATATCAGATAGATACCCATTCCACATGATATATGTAAGTTAAGAAACAGAAAAAAGAACAAAGAAAAAAAAAAATTACAACATTCAAATATGCCATATACTAAAAAGAAAATGAAAAAGAAATGATTTGTAGTTATTGTTTGGGCCGTTGATCTTGAGCGACGTATCTCTTCAACCAAAGAGGCTTGCCGCCAACCCGTAGCTTCACCTTCTCATTACTGCCCATTATCATATTGGGCACCTCTGCATTTGTGAAGAGGATCCTTCCAAACTCAAATTCTTTATTCGGTCGACCAACACTATGTCGGTCGTGCACGTACACATTTTCCACACATTCCCCGTACTCACTGTCACAACGAGCGATTAGAAAAAACAAAGTCAGTCAACTAAATATTGTCATGCATGAAATATATTTTCATAGATTTTTTTTTTCTTTTAAGTCATTAGCCGATTAACTCGCTTGATGAAAAAATAAAAATGATAAGATATATTGAAATATATTCACTTTTTGAAATGCTGGCTGATTTCTCTCCACACTAGGGGTGACCCAATTGAGAAGGTCATGTATAACGACCTCTCTTCCCTTGTGCTATCTAACGGCTGATTGGGCTCTTGTCTTGCTGTTTGTGCACCTGGGAAGAATGGCTCGGCGTTTGCATTCAATCTGCTCATTTTTATGCGAGTTTGGTGAATCTTGGATTTGGCGATTATTTGTGACTGGCGAGTATATGGGCTGAGATTTCCTGTTTTCTTTCTCTCTTACCCTGTATGAAGTATGTTATTACTGATGAAAACTGTTGACTTGCTGCACTTATTTATATAATGTTTATGATGTAGAATGAAAGATAATTATGTTTGCCAGTTTTGAGTTAGTGTGCAAGAGAATTTAGTGCTTTGAGCTATTTTATAACTTTGAGTTCATGCATCATATTTGTGCACAAATGATGATTCTGTGTTAATGTTTTGGGCCAGTTGTAATCAATTGCATTATACTATGGTATCATTCCCCAAGAACAGCTATCATTGACAATAATCAAGATATCCTTGCTTTTATATATAAAAAA